ACCCATTGCTGTTTTATCCTTGTATACAAGCACATCCTTTAAGTTTCACGAGGGGCTAATTCTCACTCCTACTTTCATGGTTTTGACCCTATTCTTTCTAGTCTGCTTGGGACCTCACTCCAAGTCTTCTCTCTTTTATTTTCACTTTCTCCATTCCACTTAGAACAGAAACATGCTTACACTCAAATATCTTCAAACTTTGCAATAAAATCTCACAGCTTACACATTGTGTTGTATATGAATCTCATTGTTGGCTTCATTTTCTCACCTTAATTGCTTGCTTTTTCTATTTATTTTGTTCTTTGTTAAATCACATGTATTTCTATAAGCTATCTTAAATTTTTTTTGAAACATCTGAATATAGGGGCATACAAATACGCATATATCATAATAGGTATCATATCCAACTTGTCATCCTGTATTTAGTAAGTTCTAAATGAAAGTTTGGGAACTGAATGAACAAATGAATGTCTTAATTTATTAGGTAACACGTGATTTAAAAAATGAATCAAAGTGAGATTTTTGTTTTAAGACTGACCCTCTTTCTAATAAAGTTACTGTGGATTGCAGGTCTTAATTAACCTGCTTGCTCTGCTAACCTCATTGTTCTATTCATCAATTCTGTAACAATCACTATTCTCAGGAAGATGGGCAGGTGACGTATGCATGGTTGCAAACCAGTCTCAACAAGCAATGAACTTCGTGTCTCACTTGGAATGAGGACCAATCTTCTCCTCTCTGGGCTCCAGTCATCTTACAACCTCACAGGGTTACAATTAACATTAAATACAATCATGTATGATAAAGCCCCTCAGAGAAGTATAATTTTTTGTATAAATGTTAAGCTTAAGTTAGTTGGAAAATTTAGTCACCCTAGCTAAAATGTGACCCTTGAACAGGGAAAGTATTTCCATTGTACTTGGGGGATGAATCCAGCAACAATCAACTATATATTGCGCTTAAAATATTTATGTTGCCAAACACATTGTATCTGTTTTTTTAATTAGTTCCTTTAAGACAAAACAAAGTGCAAAGTATAAGCTCTAGAGTGAAAAGATCCGACTGTCAGTAGCAGGTACCAGCCCTCTGATTCCTGAGCTGTATGTAGCACAGAGTGAAGTAGAATTTTGAGTGAGTCCAATTTATGTAATGGAGGTTTAAATCAGCTTTCAGCGCAGCCTGGGTCACTGAGTAATCTTCCTATTTGTTCTTTACAAAACACAGATGCAAGATGAAAAGCAGAATCACAGCAAGCTTGTAGCTCCCTGGTGCATCATGACCTACTGTAAAGCTTATCATCTGCAGTAGCACTTACACGACACTGCAAAAAAAATGTTTAACCTAAGTTTAATCATGATAACACAAACAAGTCCCAATTGAAGGACATTCTGCAAAACAACTGGTCTGAACTATAAATGGCAATCTCAAAAGACAATGAAGCTAGGAAACCATTATAGATTGAAGGAGACTAAAAGACAACAATTAAATGCAATGTATGGTCATTGTTTGGATCCTGGATTACAGAGGGGGGTGGGAGGGCAGGGAAGCTCTAAAGGACATTTTGGGTTACCTGGGGAAAACTGAATGTATACAAATTTTAGATACAGGATTACATCAGTTTTAAATTTCCTGAAGGTGGTGAGTTGTGGTCATGTAGCCATGTCCTTGTTCTTGGAAAACACATGATAAAATATGGGGGTTGGCAGAAGTAGGGTTACAGTGGCGAGTACGTGAAACAATTTATTCTTGTATTGTTATTTATTAATTATTGTATTCATTACTACATGAACAACTTGTAAACTGATTTTTGCCCACCCTTGTATTTAGGTGTGAAGTGTGATACAGACCATTTAAAATTTACAGGTAATGCATATGGTTCCGGAAAAGATGTGAATGAGATATAGATGGCCACTCCTAGCTCCACGAGAATCTAGAAATCAAGTATATGAAAAAGAACAGTAGGTTGTCTTAGATCAATTTGGAATCATCCTCTGGAGCTGGGCAAACTGCTGCCTATATTAGTCAGCTAATACTGAGATAACATTCCATAAAAAGCAACGCCCTCTTTCCAATCTTAGTGGTTTATGAGAACAAGCAAGCATTTGTTCCTCAGCCATGGGCCTGTAGGTTGCCTATGACTCTGCCACATTTGGCTGGCATCAGGTGGCCTTGGATCTAGGCTCTGTGTGTTTTCATGTCTCACCCATATATTTCCTTATTCTGGCATTACTCACTACCCATGGCATATTTTTCTCATTGCAAATGGTAGGTGTGCAAGAAGCCAGATAAAATCACACAAACAAATTTAAAGTCTCTGTTTATGTCATGTCCAATAACATTCCATTTGCCAAACAAATTGCCTGGCCAAGTTCAACACAAATTGGGCAGGATATATACTCTGCCTACTCCAGTAGAAAGTGCTACAAAGTCACATGCCAAAAGGTGTAGATGTATAATTCTATTACAGAGAGATAATGAAGAATAGGGAATGAAAATCCAACCCAGTCCCTCATTCCAAAGAAATGGGGCTCTGACTGCAAGAGAGAAAGAAGGGCTGTTGGGTAGCCATCCGACAGTGTCTTCCATGCTGTAGTCATCAAAAGAAGCTTCGGAAGCTTATTTTTTTCTGGTTTAGTTAGCAGGAAGAAAAGGAGGAAGTAAGGAAATAGTAGTTACGAATTGCTTTTAGGGCAGGATTTTCCAGCTACAACATTGATGTATAGTTGAATATGCTGATGTAGACTAAACAACGTCTCGAATTCTGTTTCATAGTCTGAATTCCCGCCAATAGCAACATCTCTGATGCAGTACACACCCAGCACTATGCTAAGGACTTTGCATCCATTATCTTATTGTACCCTCACAACAAATTTATCCAGTTTATTCTCACTTTACAGCTGACAGGTAAGTGATTTCTAGCTACTGTAAATGGCAAGGCTAGGACGGGAACCCATATCTGCCTGATTTCTTCATTCACTCAGGCATCCACTGCTCGCCAGGCACGGTGCTGAGGACGCAGACCAGCAGCACGGCCTCTGTCCTCTCACTCTGTGCTACACAGCCCACCGAAAATGACCTGTCGACTAAAAAATGAGTCCAATGCAAGCATGTGTGTTATTTTAAAAATGCATGTCATCTTCTAAGGGCTTATGATGTCATATATCAATGAACCATCAAACCAACTCTATTAAATAAGTATTACTGTTCCCCATTTCAAATATTAGGAAACTCAAATACCTAGAGGTTACCTAGAAAGTGATGCAGCGGATTAGAAACCAGGCAACATGCTGCTAGAGCTTCCCTTTTCACCAGCACAAGCAACCCATGACTAACAAAACACAAGTTTATTTAAATACACAAGTATCAATGAATCAATATAGCTTTTTTCTAATGTATTTTCCCAATAAAAGATACTGGCTATAAATGTAATGACATAAAGACCTGTAAAATACTTCGTTAAAGGGGTTCCTCACACTTGAGAAACTCAGGATCGTGGGTGTGGGATTTCAAAATTCATTCAAAATTACAAACTAAGAGGGAAAATATTAAAATCTAAAACAGTAGGTGTAGCTTCCTTTTCCTTAAATCTGAGACAGGATTTCAGTTATTCCACTACTTTATTCGTATTTGATGTTCACAGAATACTTTGTAATTGCTAATGAGTTAGTACATTCCAGTGATAATGGTGACCATTATTCTTAGTGTCCCTTCCTGTGGGATTTCGGGAGGCGCCACTGGTCTGAGACCTCTGCTGAGTACCCAGAAGGTGGGTTGCAGTTCCAGCCACTTGGGCATCTGGTCCCCGGCCACTTGGCGGCACCTGAGGCCTGGCAACCTTGCAGCAGCCCCGGCAGCGCTGCAGCACAGCCTCCCTAGGCGACCTGGCCACACTCCGGGCCCCAACCCAGAACTCACGCCTGACTCCGCAACTGCATGTCGCTGCCCGGCACCGCGGGGTGCCAACAACTCCAGAGCAAATTTTTTGAGAACACAAAACAACGTAGAGGTGGAGTGGAGCTTGTACTTCGGAAAGTTAGCCTCACCTCTCAGCACCGCACAGCACCTAGCTCTCCAGGATCCTCCGAGACAAAGAATGACCGCCCCCTCCCCGCCCCCATAACCCCCCCCCCCACCCTCCACAAGTCGGAATAATAGGTGAGCATCTCTTAAAAGACTAGGACGGTCCAATTTGGGATAGGTACGAGCAAATCCTCAATCTAGCAGAACAACATGAATCTTTTGTAAAATTCACACCTGGTCACCTCAACAGATAATGTGACAAGACTGGAGAAAGCCAAACCGCTCTGTGACCTAAAGCATTTCTGAGGGTACACTTAATACAACTTTAAAGACATTAAAACTTTATGGTTGCCACAAGCCTCTCTTTCTTTTGTGCTCAACCACTACATTGCTGTACCCTACTGGGGACAGATTTTCTGAATAAAAATACCCAAAGCAGCACTTGAGCAAAATACTTCTGCAGTGCACCGAACAAATGGAGTTTCCCCAAGCATGGTTCTATAAGAAGTATGTGTATATGTCTCTGAAGTTATTATTTGTATTGCACAAATATTTTTTATCTTGGGGATTCTGGCTGTTCAGAACATTTGTTTGGTCTATAAAAGAGGGATGAGTGATATCAAAGTATCCGGTAGAAGTAAGTGGCCAAGTGCTGACAGGTGAAGAAAAGGACTGAGAATGAACGATTAATTCAGCACAGGGGTGGTCACTGGTTCTGCGATAAACACAGTCTCCGTGGAGTGATGGGAGAGAAGCCCGATTAGAATGTGTTAGGAGAAAATGTGAAGTCAAGAAACAAAGTCAAGACTATGGAAACCTCATTTAAGAAGTTGAACTCCAAAGTAAATAGGTAATAGCTTGGTTCTTTTAAGAGGATTGGAGTAATAGAAAGGTTTTGTTGGGTTGCATTTCACTTTAGATTTGCTGTTGTTTAAAGACAAAAGGTAGTAGACACAGTTCAGAGCAAAGAAAATACTCACTGAATAACAGTCTGATGACGCGGAAGAAAGCAGAGATAATTGTGGGAGCAGTGCTTTCTCTCTACTGTCAACGCCGTGCCAAACTCCAGCTCAGGTGAAACTCAACCGTCGGCCATGCTCCTCAACGTGAGCAGTTGAACATAGTGGGAGAAAAACACACAGCTGGTCTCACTTAAAATGCATGACCACAAATCTCAAAAGAGCATTTAGTATAAACCAACAATCCTACTAAATTTGCTTAATACAATGACTTCTCCTCTCTCCAAAATGACTACATCACATTTTCTCCTCTCTCTAAAAACTTGCTTATAATCTTCTCCCCCTCCTTCACTCTTAGTTGTTTTACTTGCCTCATACCTCATGGGAAAAAAGAAGCTATTAGATAAATATTTTCTCATCCTCCCACCACCAAACCTACCTCCTCTTCCTGCACCTGATTTCTTCCTGTCTCTCCATGTGGTCCAGACCTCACTTCATTATAATAACACTTAGGAACCTGGCTGAACTTGTTAACCCAGAAAAAAAATGAAAATTTCTAAAACTATACATAATAAAAATTTGGCTAAAATTAGTGGAAGAATTTAATCTCTTCGAAAATGTTAGATTTGCAAATTTGGCCTGGGAAAATTAGATTTGATAGTAATAGTGTGCCCAAATAAAGGTCCAATACAATATACCATCATCAATAAAAATCTTCATTATGAAATTTACACAGAAAAGCTGTCCTCCAAAGAAAGTAATTTCAGTAAAATAAAAATGGAAGGTTAGTTGAGTTTACCCTTGAATAACACCAGAGTTAGGGGCATGACTCATGGCAACAGTTGAAGATCTGCGTATGACTTTTGGCTTCCCCCCAATTTTTGTCAGTTGGTATCCACAAGGGGTTGACTCCTTTTGCCCTGTAGACTCTTCTATTTCTCTCATAATAAATATCCCTTCATATTCATTAGGAAGAACTTCAGTGTCTTGCTAAAAACTAATTTCAAGCCATTTCCTGCTCTGCATTTAAAAATCTTGGTGGTAGTCACTCCATCCTTACAAGTAAAAAGCTAAACACACTGAAAAATCAACAACTCTTCTTGGACTCATTAGACAGAGGAGAACACAGGGTGAATCTCTGCCCTCAACATTGGCGAGACCGACAGGCAAATACAGAAAGTCATGGCTTATCAGAGCAGAAACTCACTTAGCAGAAATCACCTCAGGAATGGGTGCCGGGGTATAAAAACTTGAACTGCATTCATAAATGCTGCCAGCTCAGTGTATAAAAACTCCAGGGGACCCAAAATCATAGGGGGCCCCCACACTTTTGTGTGAATTACCTCCAAGTGATTGAGCAGGTTCCAGCAGTAAATGTTGAAGAAAAAATATCCCCTCCAGCTTTCAGCAGAGTGAACGAGAAGGAAACCAGTTTGAAATATGCCAGAGTACTCTGTTCTTAACAAGATCTGCCCACAGGAGAAACTAGTTAACCAGAGCCTAACCTGCCTGGAGTGTTATTAGATCCTGACTCACCTGTAGGAAGGAGAGATGCACTCCAGTCAGCACTACTCTTCCAACGGGGGAGGGAGAATACCAAATGACAGCTCACTCCAGCCATCCTGTCCCACCTACAGGGGGAGAAAAAAAACCTGAGAAACACTTGCAAAGTTCACAAGCCAGAGGCACAGGGTCTCTGAAAGACTGAGAAGACTGAGACCTAATCACAGGACTGTAGAATGCTCCTCCACACATACTTTACCACCACTAAAGGCCTATTTACAGTAGTTCCTTCCACCCAGTATATTATGTCCAGCTATTGAAAAATTATGAGGCATACTAACAGTAAAAAAAAAAGAACAGTGCCTACATGGAATGCTAATAGGTGAATGCATCATATTTTATTCATACAACCTCCCATCTATGTTGTTTAAATTCTCCACTATTTTAAAACAATAAAAACCTTGCACATATATACTTGTAGAATCAGACAATAAATTTCCTTAGGATATATTTCTAAAAGTTATTTTCCAGAAGTTTGAAAATAATAGATTATCAGCTAGTTTAATAAACAATTCTGTCAGAGAAGGGAAAAAGAACATGGGGGAAAACGTGGAAAGAGGAAAAAACAGAGTTTAGGAAAATTTATGACCACATATTTTTTCTTAGAAAATAGAAAGAATTACCATAGAAACCATAGAAAGACAACTAGATCTCAAAACAAAAAAATACTTAGAACTGTCAGAAAATCAAGGTGTATGAAGGTCCAACAACTGAAGATTTAAAGAAGCCACATTCATCCAGACAGGTAGGAGGGGTGGAGTCGTGGAGGCAGGTGGAAAGACACAGAGATGCAGTGTGGCACGGAGAGATGGTGGCAGTGGCAGACTGGATGGTCCTACATTCATGGATGGTCCTGCATTCACGTATGGTGGATAACGATCTGGAGGGGTATCTCGGGAGCCAGCAATCCTGGCCCAGGCCAAACTTCATGGCCCAGGGTTCCACTACCAGGAACATAAATCCCAATAATTCTGCCTGTAAAAACCAATGGGGGGAGGGGTTCGAGTAATGGAAGAAACTGCCAGATTCTCAGGAGACGGTGTTTAAAGGGCCTGCACAGCCTTAGAACACACACAAACCCACTCACCCTAGGATTCAGCATCAGGGCAACAGCTGGGAAGGCACCAGTCATTTACAAGAAGTGGGTGAAGTGACTGGAAGCAAGGCAAGTGCCGGGCAAACCTGCAGAACCCAGGCAGTGGCACTGTCCCCTCTCCAAACCCGCCCCCTGACAGAGAGCCACAAAGCAGTGAAGCGTGCTGTCCTACTGTGGAGATTACCCTAAGGCTCTACCCCACACAATTTATAGGTGCCTTTTCCACAACAAGCCATGCTACTAAAACAGGGAGTCAAAGCAGCTCCATCTAATACACAGAAACAAACACAGCAAAGCAGCCAAATTGAGGAGACAAAGAAATATGGCCCAAATGAAAGAGCATAAAATAACCCCCCCAAAAGAACTAAATGAGACAGAGATAACCAACCTATCAGATGCAGAGTCCAAAACACCAATGATCAGGATGCTCAAAGAGCTCGGTGAGTATGGCAACAACATAAAGGAAGAAATGAAGGTTACATTGAGTGAAATAAAGAAAAATCCAGAGGACTTGTGCTGTTCATGAGCTGATCATGTGCCATTCACGAACAGTAGAGGGGAGGAAGCCAGATTCAAATCAACAATTTCAAACATAAGGAAGAAATAAACATTCAACCAGAACAGCAAGAAGAAACAAGAATTCAAAAAAATAAATAAAAACCAAGGATAGTATAAGGATACTGTGGGACATCTCCAAACGTACCAACATTAGACTCTTAAAGACTCCAGGAGAAGTAGAGCAAGAAATTGAAAACTTATTTGAAAAACTAATGAAAGAAAACTTTCCTAATTTGGTGAAGAAAAAAGACACACAAGTCCAGGAAGCACCAAGAATCCCAGATAAATTGGACCCAAAGAACACCACACCAAGACACATTATAATTAAAATGCCAAAGGTTAAAGATAAAGAGAGAAAATTCAAACGCCTCTTAAAACAGGGTATAAGGTCACCAGTGCATCTTGCAAGCAAGATGGGACTGGGAAGAAGTATTCCAAATGATGAAAAGCAAGTACCTACAACCTACATTACTCTATCCAGCAAAGCTATCATTTAGAAAGGAAGGACAGATAAAGTGTTTCCCAGACAAGGTGAGACTAGAGGAGTTCATCCCCACTGAGCCATTATTACATGAAATGTTAAAGGGATTTATTTAAGAGAAGGATCAAAACTATGAACATTAAAATGGCAACAAATCCACAACTATCAACAACTGAATCTAAAAAAACAAACTAAGCATACAACTAGAACAGGAACAGAATCATAGATATGGAGATCATTTGGAGGGTTATCAGCTGGAAGGAGGTCAGGGGAGAATGGGGGAAAAGGTGCAGGGATTAAGAAGCATAATTTGCAGGTACAAAATAGACAGGGGGATATTAAGGATAGTATAGGAAGTGTAGATGCCAAAGAACTTATATGCATGACCCACAGACATGAACTAAGGGCAGGACTGCTGGGGGTAAAGAGGGTAACCAGGCAGAAGGGGGCAAAGGGGAAAACATGGGGCCACTGCAATAGCATAATCAATAAAATATATTAGAAAACAAAGAAACTGGCCACTGGGAGACAGGGGTAGGAAAGAGGCTTACTTTTCATTATATATCTCTTTATATCATTTGAATTTTATCACATGTGCATGTAAGAAATTAAAAATTAAACATTTCAAAAAATAAAATTATGTAAAATATTTTTAAAAAATTAACACTGCCAAGGAATGTTAGATGAGTGGAGTAGAGGAGGTGTTGGGTGGGGTGTTATTCATTTCCCCCAAATGAATAACAGTTTCCTTTAACTTGAAGGGGGAGTAACACTTTTGAAGTCTGTAACTTACATAAACAAATGATAAGAAAACATATTGTCTGAAGAAAATGTACCAAAGCCCAGTGGTTTCCTACAGAACGCTAGGAAGCCCAGCCTCTGGCCGTGCAGGCAGGCAGGCTAGAGGGTGCTGTGGTGCCATCCCAACGTGGTTCCTATTGCCAGAATGTAGTGGTAAAAGTGCCTAAAATCCTCTTTGAACCAATAAAAACCTATGGGTGAATAGTTTGTCTATAGTCACCCCACTCCCTAAAGTAGGTTTTCAGCTGGAAAAGGAAGAGAGAATTAATAAATCTTAGCTGTTTAAGTAGAATAGTATCTTTTCAAGGAAAATTCATATTATCGACCTGGAAGAAAACATAAAGATGATCCAAGTTCATGGTTCTTAGCAGGAAGTCATTTCTGAATTGCCTGTGGCATTTTGGGTAATGGTCCAAGGGCATGATTTTTTTTCAAGTTTGAGCCCAGGCCTTTGGACTCTGTGGCACTGGAAAGCGATTCTTCCTTTATTAGTTGTCTGGCTTTTCCAAATTACTGCGCAGTCACCTTCTCTTGGAAGACAGTTTTTATTCTCCCTAAAATGTGTTTCTGGAATCACGATATCCTGGGAAACTCTGCCAACTCATACATACATGTCCTCATTTCTGATCCCTGAAATAAGTTTATATAATATAAATTCTGTCTGCCCATGTGTTGGGTTTATTTTGACCTTCCCTAGCCTCTCTTTTTCACACATGTGTTCCTGTTCATTCTAACGTAAAAAGCATTAAGCTGAGTGTTAAGAGGACTGTTTCAATGGGAAATATATTCTTGGGTCAGATTACAAAGTGGTTGGACTTCCAGGCCAACTCACTGAAAACTATTTATAATTTACCTGAAGCATAATGCTGATGGTCCTTTTTTCAATTATACTTATTCCATTGTACCAACACAAAATAGGCATGGCTTAGAAAATGCTGATGAGGTCCTGATGTAAGACACCAGCAACAAAAAAATTCTCTTAACTTCAGTGGGAAGCATGGGTCAGAAAAGGGTCGCTGGGTACCAGTCTCAGTGACCACTGCCTGTGTCTGAAGCAATTTTGGTCCTCAAGTGTATTCCTGTTTTTGTACATTCAGTAGGCATTTACTACCCAGAAAAATTATGTGTAGTGGATCTCAAGGTAGAAGAAGAATGAAAATAACAGTAAAATCAAAGTGGAAACAGATGGGACAGTATTTAGTAATTAAATGAGCTGAGCCAAAGTAAGTCAGCCTACAAAACACTTCAGGTTTTCTCACCCAGCCACCCCAACCATTTTATCTAAAGTTAGCGGCATATATTCAGGGAGCATTAGGGCAACAAAAAGCAGAAATGCGGACTTCCCTAAGTCTCGTCACAGTATTGTCAAGGTAAAGGTAAAAGACTGTGGGAAGACGTTAAGATGGAAAAGATAGCGAAGGTCATCCGGGCAATGTTGGTGAGGCCAGCTGTCAGTTCCTACAGCCTAGTTGGCTAGGGCTCATTCTGGTGCATTTAAGAATCATTATAGGAAGTTGTCCTAAAAACAATAACACTGCAGCTGCTGTTTACCAGTTTACATCAGCTCATAAGCAGGAACGTACTTGGACAAAATAAAGATCCCAGTTCTGACTTATATTCCTAAGCCCTGCTGACTGCCTCTCAAAACAGCATATAAGGTCACCGGTGCAGAGGCAAGGAAAGGTGGATGGATCTGTGAAAACTCACCATCACTAACAAAACATTAATTCCATGGTTTAGTCCAGTGTCAACAAGTCATTCACAACCTATTTGTAAGGAAAAGGCAACGGTATTTATTATATGGACAATGGTTCATTGACACATCTTCCCCCTGGGGTATTAATGTGTTTGCTTATAAGTGGACATATTCACTGCACAAAGACAAATATTATCATTCTGAGCAAAAGGTAAATGCTGCTGGCAGTGTTTTCTCTCTGAGATGAGCTTTACTATATGGGTGGAATATTGAGGGTATTGGGGAAATCGTGAGAATAAATTACGGAATAAGTAGCAAATGTTTCCAGGTAGCTGGTTTATATAAGATTAAACACAATTACCTGTTTCTCTGACTCACTGAATTTCTCAGTTCAAAAGGCAAAGGCTGCACCTAGCCATCTGACAAAGGCAAATATGTAAATCAAATGTCTCTTTCCCAGTATAAGAAAAACTAACACAGATGGAGGCCTTTCCCCAAATTAGTAGATAAACACATACATACACCAATGCTGTGACATATGTTATATACTCCATATACGTTGCTGTGATGCAATCCACATCATTCTTTGGGTATTGTTAACCACAAAGGTCCAAATACAGACTTGACCAAATGAAGAGAAGCCACAAGCAATTATCTGATAGTGGGATAAGACAAAACTTGGCACCACAAAATCTGAGGTGAAATCGATGTTTAGTCTGCTGTTAGCTGAGATAACTTGGCTAGCCACCTAATCCCTCTAAGCCTCATTTTCCACACCTGTTGATTCAAAATACCTACTTCAGAGGTGTTTGGGGTTCAAAAGACATATGAAAATGTATACACTTGGTAAAATATAAGACGCTGTATGAATGTTATTTGAAAACAATTTTTTTAAATCTGAGACAACTTTCTGGTGAGCAAGGCTTTGAGGAATTATTTAAATATTCAGGAAAGAAGAGCACTAGAAATTGAACTTGGCACAATTGAGTACGAGACAGTCATAGTCTATGCTCACTTCTGATGCCCAATGTACCTATTTTAGGATACCCATGCCCTGCAGCTGTGGAAGACCCACTCCATGGAGACCTGGAGGCCAAGAGGAAATCTTCAGGCTCTTGAACAGTCATAATTAGTTGGTTTCTTCACTCCTTCTCTGTACTGGGTTCTGGAGATGCAGAGAGGGCTGTTTGCCAATGTACTACCTCTTCTGGAGCTTAGAGTCTAGTAAGAGAGACACAAATTAATAAAATATTCACCCAAATATATAAAAACAGTGAAAACCCCTCAAAGAAAAAATTTAGAAGGCTCTGAAGCATGTGAGGGATGGACATGATCTATTTTGGTGGTGTCAGGAAGTTCTTCTGGGGAAGTAGCATTTTGGCTAAAACATGAAGAATGATCAGGACACAGCCAGTTGAAGTGGGGAGGATGGGAGAAATATTCTAGGCAGAGGGAACTGCCTTAGCAGAAACCTTGAGACAGGGAGAACTGAAAGAAAGATGTGATGAGAGAGCATGAGGCTGGCAGTAGGAACAGGCATGAGCTGGTCTTTAGGAGCAGAGAGGTGACGAGGTTACTTTTGAACAATAACACAGTAGAGAGTGAATTTGGGAGCAGGGGGTTAAGTGTGGGTAACAGTAAGTTTGATAGCATGGTAAATTTGAGTCAATGAAAAGAATTTGATAGTTTCAAAGAAGTATGGATGACATCCCATATCTGTGGGTGTCGATTAAGAAAAAGTTTAGAAACAGTCTTAGAGGCTCCAACTGCTTTAAGAAGATTTTTTATTTTTTTAATTTTTAGAGAGGAGATAAGGGAGGGAGAAAGAGAGGGACAGAAAATTGATCAGTTGCCTCTTGCACACACCCCAAGTAGTTACTGAACTCGCAACCCAGGTAATGTGCCCCTAGCCGGGATCAGACTGGTGAACTTTTGCTTCATGGGGCAACGCCCAACCAACTGAGACACACTGGTCAGGGCAGGGGCTCCAACTTTTAAGGTCTCAGTAGAGGATGATAAGTCTAAATAAGAAGAATTAGTGAGGTAAGAGGGACATTAGGAGTCACAGAAAAAAAAGTACTGCTGAGTGGTCAAGTGAGATGAAAATTGAAAAAAAATGCCCATTTAGTGACCTGGAGGTCATTGGCAAGAAATACATTGGAGGAGAGATAGGGACAAAAGTCTGGTCAGAGAGAGAGGGAATAAGGGAATGGGCTGATCTGTTTAAGAAATTTGGTTTTAAAATTAGAAGTAAAAGAGTGTGGTGGCTAATGAGAAAGATAGGCAGGAAAATATTGGGGAACATTTATTCATTCCTCAAGTCATAAGAGTCAATCGCTTAGTCTGTTGGTCTAGAATTTCTCTCCCTTTAATATGAAGTGGTTCTATTGCCTTAGGGAGTATTCGAGTAGGAGAATGGAAATTGTACTAATATATAAATTCCCAAATTTTTAAAATGCATTATTTATTCACTCACTACCCACTACCAACAAGTCCCATACCAGGTTTATAGTTTCTAAAAGCCAGTCTCAGTAGTATGGTCCCAGAAAGAAAGATGAAAAAACACATGTAAAATTTCTCCACATAGGTCCAGGGCTTCCCTCTTATTTAAACTTCTTTCCCCAAACAACTGCAAAGCCATGTCATGTTCCCCCCTAACACCACTTGTGTTCACTGGCTATTCCCTCCCAACCGCCTCTGTCTTCACTCACTGGGAAACTTCCATTTCTGCACTGGGTCTCCGCTACTTTCTTTATGTCAGTGATCGTGACTCACTTCACTCCGCCTTCTCTCACTGCAGAGAGACTGGCATGGAGCACACAGCCACGGGCGTTATGCTGGTCTGTGCTGTGGCTGACGAGATTAGGTCCCAGCCGCGCGTGCCAGTCCGTGAGTTCTCTACTGCCACTCAGTGATAATAAACCACAGGTCAAGGGTTAGCGATTGGTTCTCGTCTTGCAGTTTCTCCCGAGCCCAGCTCCCCAACATGGGTTCTTATAGACCCTCCTTCTAGCTGAAACCAGCTGATAGGGAGCGGTGTATCCAAATGTATTTCAAAAATGTAAATTTATTTTTCATTACTGACCTAATTTATTAGGTCAGTAATTAACTGAAACAATTACAATCCCTAAAGATCTCTAAAATGTTATGAAAAAAAAGTGTTTTAGAAGCCATTTCCCTGATTGTCGGTTGCTAAGCTCTCAAATCCTGAGTTCATGTATAAGGGTGTTTTATATCTTTGAGGAATGTGTTGGTGCCTGTGTTTGAAATGAAACAATGACAAATAATTCTACATGCTGTCAATGGATTTTCCAATTTAAAAATAACCCATAACTGCACTTAGAAAGTTGCACACTTTAAAATACAAAGTAGAATACAGGGGTGGTAAATAAACACACAAAATGATACAGAACTTCATTAGCCACCAGATAAATGGAGAGTAAAGCCACGACGAAATGTCACTATATGAGTACACCTATCAGATGGCTAAAATTAAAAAGTGACAACACAAAATGTTGATGGGTATATGCAAAAACTATACCACATATACATTGCTGGGAGTAAATAAAAAGGTGCAGATACTCTGGAAACCAGCTTGGTGGTTTCTTACACAAGTTAAATATCCAATTACTTTTTAACCCAGTAATTGCAGTCTTGGGGCATTTATTCCAGAGGAATTAAAACTTACCATATAGCTACACCAAAAGCTGTACTGTATTTTCATAGCAGCTTTATTTGTTTTTATTAAGTCTATTTTACTGATTATGCTGTGACGGTTTTTCCATTCTTCCCTCTGGCCCTCCTCTGCCTGATACCCCCTTCCCTCCAGCAGTCCCCCCCTTAGTTCATGTCCATGGGTTGCACATATGATTCCTTGACTTCTCTATTTCCTACACTAGTCTTAACCTCCCCTTGTCTATTCTGTACCTACTCTACTAATTATGCTTCTTATTCCCTGTACCTTTTCCCCCATTCTCTCCCTTCCCCCTTTCCACTGATAATCCTCCAGGTGATCTCCATTTCTATGATTCTGTTCCTGTTCTAGTTGTTTGCTTAGTTTTTGTGTTTTTTTAGATTCTGTTTTTGGTAGTTGAGAGTTTGTTGTCATCTTACTGTTCATAGTTTTGATCTTCTTTTTCTTAGATAAGCTTCTTTAACATTTCATATAATAATGGCTTAATGGTGATGCACTCCTTTAGCTTTTCCTTGTCCAGGAAACATGTTATCTGCCCTTCAGTTCTGTATGATAGCAGCTTTATTTGTAATAGACAAAAACATGAAACAGCTCAGATGTCCTTCAACAGATGAATGGTTAACCAACTGTGGAACAACCATACCATAGGATGTTGATCAATAATAAAAATTTTAAAACTACCAATATTTGCATCAACTTACATGGATTTCAGATATATATGCTGAGTGGGGAAAAAAAGCCAGTCCTAAAAATTACATAATATATTATTCCATTTACATAAATTTTTGAAATGACAAAATTTTAGAAATGAAGGGCAGATTAGTAGCCACCAGGGGTTAGGGTTGTTGGGGTGGGGAGGGCAAGAAGTGAAGAGAGAGGAGGGGGTGTGGTAATAAAAAGGATTCCTGTGGTGATGGAATTGTTCAATATCTTGACTTTGGCGACGGGCACAGGAACTGTATAAAATTGTGTAGAACTAAACACACACGCGTATACACAAAGAGTACAAGTAAAATGGCGGACATCTGAATAAGATGAGTGGGTTGTATTAATGTCAATACACCAGATGATATACTACTTTGCACAATGTTACCATTGAGAGAAACTGGGAAAAGTGTCAACAGTACCTCTCTATATTACCTCTTACAACTGCATGTAAATCTACAACTTTATCAATAAATAAGAAATTCAAGGGGAAAAAAGCACAAAAAAGCAAATTTTCTTAGCCCAGTATTTATTGCCAAAGTACTTCTCCAAGCAAAATAGTGATGAGGAATGATCACTAGTAAGGAAATATTTTGCCACATGTAGATTAAGACAGCTGTGTCAATAGGACATTCTATCACAAGAGCTGGAAAATGAGAGTTGAAGCACTTTTTATTCATATAGTCAGTGGAGACTTCATATTCTTTTCAAATAGTATCCAAGTAACCAATTCACTATATGAAAGCCACAACTATTAATTTCCCCAAACCTTGTTTTTTGTGGTGATCCACCTCTATGAAAATGTAAGTAGGAATTTCCATCTGGGCAGCATTTTGCAAAAGACTGTTTAACTTGCTCAGCAGAGCTTTTACTTTGCTTCCTACACAAGGAATAGCTGCATGAGGAGCTCATATCAATTTACAAACCAGAATTCTGGGATTTTAGGAGCAGACTTGGTTTTAAATTCTCTCCTTTGCTCCTCTTCTCATAAGCTCATCAGGGACCTTTGACTCATGGAGGGGGGCTCATTTCCCCAGCTTCTCAGGAGCTCACCACCGCAGCAGTCAAATCGAATAAAAAAATCCCATTAGTACTTTGCTCTAATACAGACATACTTTCACAGATTTGACTTAACCTTTTTCCTTCTGTTTTAGAAAGGGTTGTTAAAAAGAAATAGCCATACGAATACCATTTCTGCATTTCGAATACGAATTGAATGTATTGCCTACCATACTATTAAATGTCTCATATGTAATTGTTTTTGATAAATTGTTTTTACAGCATTGAGGAAAATAATAACTTCCATTTGGAGACAAAGATATAATCCTAGATTAAATAATGAGAAATTTATGACCCAACCTGATTTATTTTGGCCCTAGCCACCAAGAAACTCAGATTTAAGTTTTCTGCTTATTTACTGCTATTTTTAGCCTAGATATACATAATTTCTTTTCCCCTACCCTATTTGAATATAATTTGTCTTAAAAGTTGTAGTTTTAGAATTTTGTTATATATTTTAGCCAATTTGAATTTATTTGGCTCTAACAATTTAATAATAAAATCACCTTTATGATACTACTTTAAGCATTATTTATTTTAAGTCTTTTTACAAAGAGATAAACAATCTACTTGAAGGAAATAGACCGAGCAAAAGGACACATGCAGGATTACTTAATGTATTTGTGTTTCTGTTTATAACTTAAGACCCAGGAATGTTTAGTTCCCTATTTTAAAAACTTCACAGATGTCTTTTTACTTCAAGTAAATTGATTGCTTGAATCTAAATTCAAATTCCCAAATATAACTCATATAGTAGACCTAA